CCCAGCTTTTTTTTTTTTTTTTTAATCGTAGAGAAAAGGTCTCACCAAGTTACCCAGGCTGGTCTCGAACTCCCGGGCTCAGGCAATCCTCTTGCCTTGGCCTCCCAAAGTGCTGGGATTGCAGGCGTGAACCACTGCATCCGGCTCAACTATTTTATTTTGCATGAGGATATCTGGTTGTTCCGGCACCATTTGTTGAAGAGACAGCATTTCCTCCCCACCCCCACATTGAATGATCGTGGTGCCCTTGTAGGAAATCAACCATAGATGTATGGGTTTGTTTCTGAATGCTCACATCTATTCCATTTGTATATATGTCTATCCTCATAATAGCACCGTTTTGATTACTGTAGATGTGCAGTAAGTTTTTGGAATCCAGAAGTGTGAATCCTCAAACTTTGTTCTTTTTCAAGATTTTTTTTGACCTGTCAGGGTCCCTTGTAAATCCATATGAAATGCAAAATCTGTTTTTGTTTTTTTTTTTGAGTTGTAGTCTCACTCTGTTGCACAGGCCAGAGTGCAGTGGCACACTCATGGCCACTGCAGCCTCGATCTGCTGAGCTGCTCAGGCGATCCTTCCACCTCAGCCCTCCAAGTAGCTGGAACTACAGGCATGCGCCACCATGCCTAGGTAGTTTTTTAAATTTATGGTAGAGATGAGGTCTCACCAAGTTGCCCAGGCTGCTCTCATACCCGTGGGCTCAGGCAATCCTCTCGCCTCCACTTCCCAAAGTGCTGGGATGACAGGCGTGAGCCACCATGCCCGGTCCTAAAATCAATTTTTCCATTTCTGCACAAAGGGCTACTAGGATTTGGTAGGCATTGTATAGACTATGCAGGTTGTTTTGGGGTAGTATGGCCATCTTAACAATATGAAGTCTTCCAATTCATGAACACAGGAGGCATTTCCATTTACGGTATTAAGGTCTTTCATGTCTTTCAGCAACTGAGGACACACTCGGTTCCCATCTGCCCTGTGGAGCCAGGCCCTCTTCTCTATGGGTCCGTGAACACCACCCACGGGGACCTATGGATGCTGTGGTTCTTCCAGCTACTATTCCCAAGTGACCCTCTGCCCCTCAGTCACAGGTAGGGGAGTCCCCACCCACCCCACCTCTTTCCTGGACCACAAAATGATCTAAGCTGTGTGTCTCAAGAAACATGGGAACACTGACCTCTTGGACCAGAACCACAAGGCAGAAGGCACGTGGTTGAGACCAGTGAAAACTCTCCCTGCCCAGGGGTCAGGGGTCAGCATGGGGTGTGCCTCCCCTAAAATACCACCATCCCCTCATCTCAGGGGTGTATAGTACCCCCAGGCCTCCGTCTCAGTCCAGCCTGACCCTGCAGAGTCATTTTGGGTCTGATTTTGACAGATTTACACTGACAAAGGATAAAGGACTCAATCCCAAGCACCTGGATGGGCCTACAGTCCTGACATCCCCTGGGACCCATGAGCCATACCCATGGAGGCCAGCATAGATACTACAGTGCACAACACCTCTCCTACCTGTGGTCAGCCCGCCATACCCCCAGATATTCTGGTTGCAGGTGAGGAGCCCTGCCCAGTTCCCCTGTCAATCAGAGTCTCAGGGCCCTGGGTCCAGGGTTGCCCCTGGTGATGAGGGTCCAGAGAGAGGGTCCTGGAATAGGAGATAAGATGGGCCAGTGTCCAAGGAGGACGACTGAGCAAGGGACAGCAGGAGGCCTGGACTCAACAGACCCACCCAGACCTGGGGGGAGGAGGGTGGCCCCTCTGCTCAGGGTCAAGTGTGGAGAGGTGGCTCCCCACACATCACGCCTCTCTCTCCAAGGAATGTACAAGAAATTCTCAGCCTGGTCAGAGTCCCCAGTTTCCTCGGAATAGAATGTGGCCCTGCTGTGTCACTCAAGACCTGGCTCGACACTCTCCATCTGTCCAAGGAGGGGTCAGATGCTTCTCCTGGCACCTTTGTGAGGACACGGCTTCACCATCTCACACTGAGTGCTGCAACCTCGGTTCACACAGCACCTCCCCCTACTTGTTGTCACACCGCAAGGACCCTCTGGAGCTGGTCATTGCAAGTGAGGACCCCTGACACTCTCCTGAACTCAAAGGTTCAGCTCAGGGCCCTGCACCCAGGAGTCCTGGATTGGGGTGGAGTGAGAGGACTCTGAGGGTCAGCCAGAGGGGGACTCATGCTTGGAGGAACAAGAAATCCCAGGGCAACTCCCTCCCCTGCCTCGCTCTCAGTTCCATCCTTGAGGCCCCTAGAGGTAGCAGTGAGGCCTCAGAGCTGACCAAAAGGAGAAAAGGCCAGAGGGACCCTCCCCTGATGCCCCTCAGTGTCCTATCCTGGCAGCCTCTCACCCAGAGACAAACACAAGAGCAATAAGCAGCAGAAACCTCCACCCCCAGGAGGATCACGGTCACCCTGTGGCTCTGTCAGGCAGACATGGGCGGGGACCTTGGGCTCCCAGGAACTGAGGCTGGGTTGACAGGAGTCAAGGTAGAGGCAGAAGTTGGGGCCCAGCCAGAGGTCCTGAGGATCAGCCCCTCAGCCCGAGAGGTGAGGCACTCTGTGGGGGTCGGGGATAGCTCAGTTCTGGTGCTGGCCCAGTCACTTCCTGAGATGGCCCCAAGTCTCTTCTTGAGACCCCTCTCCATCGGCAAGAAGACCCTCTTGGCACTGTTGTGGTGAGGGGGTGGCATCTGAACTCCCTTCTACTCAAGGACGCTCAGCAGCTAGGGAAGGACAGAGCTTGGAAGACACATCCCTTGGATTTAAGTTCCTACTTCCCAGCTGTGGGACCTTGGGCAAATCCCAAGTCCTAAGTTCCTCACCTGTAGAACATGTTCACGATTGCTGTTGTTCTGGCTACCCACTAGCCCAGGACCCAGACTCCATAGGGAGGCTGCTGGAACCTGAGGGAACAGATCTGCAAGAGGACCACCATTACCAAGTGGCAACCCTGTGAGAAGGGCACACACAGCACAAGCAAGCTGCCAGACTCCCAGTTTCTGTGCAGGTTTGCTTCACTGTCAAAGGACCCAGAGCTGTCCCTGCACCGTGCTGGCCTAACTGACCTCAAAGCCCAAAACTCCCCGGTAAAGGGCCCAGTCCACTAGAGCCTGCAGAGCAGCTCCAGTCCCTGAAGTTGCTCAACTTCCCCAGAGACCAAGCCCCTTCCTGCCAGATTCTCAGCGGGACAGAGAAAAGGGAAGTCGCCTCCCTGGAGTCAACGGATGTTCCAAGTTAGGGGGAAGATGAAGTTCCTTAGATGGGCGCGGTGGCTCACACCTATGATCGCAGTACTTTGGGAGACAGAGGTGAGAGCTCAGGGGTCTGAGACCAGCCTGAGCAGCATGGCCAGACCTCATCTCTACAATAAATTAAAAAACTAGCCAGGTGTGGTGGTACATGCCTGTGGTTCCAGCTACTTGGAAGGTTGAGGTTAAGGATCACCGGAACCCAGTAGATCGAGGCTGCAGTGGCCGTGAGGAGCCACTGCACTCCAGCCTGGGTGACTTGAGACTCAAAAAGTTCCTTCCCATAGGTCACCAACCCGCTTTCCCTTCCAACCCACATTAAGACACAAAATTGGGAACTTGCACAATACGAACCACACTGCACAAGCTTTGAATTCAGGCTGCAGGCTGTGCAGCACTCCCCAACAAACACGAACAGAGCAGCAACCGGAAGGGCTACACAGGCAGGGAGGACATCCACTCACCACTTCCTCTACTGTAAATGACTTGTTCCCACCCCCAACAGAAGGCTATGTTGGGGGGCGCAGAAAAGGGGAAGACACAACCAATGAACACCAATTACAAAGTGTTGATCTTCTTTTATTATCTGACTGTAAATCTAGACCATTCACCAGCCCAGGAAGGGCTCCTGGATGGGCTTAATCCTCCTCCTCATCATCTCCAGCTCCCGCCCCACCCTGGCCCTTCTTGGCATTCTTCCTCTTCACGCGGCCTGGGCGGCCACCCCCGTATGGAGAGCGAAGGGAGAAGTCAATGTGCTTCTGGGAATCCAGGCGGACAATGAAGGACGGGATGTTCACAACCTGCTTGCGGACCCTGTAAGGGGGAGACCCCAACCCAAGGTAAGACCCCACTCTCCTCATGCCCTTAAGTTGGTATGCTTAGTGCTAAGGTTGCAGACACTGAAGCAATGCCAGAAGAGCACTCCCGATCCTATGGGACTCATGTGACTTTCAGGGCATCATTGACCCCCCCAACCTCCCCGCAGACACTTCAGACTGGTTCCTCACCCACATTTTACACAAGGAGAAATTCAAAAGCATCCCAGGGGCCGGGCATGGTGGCTTACACCTGTAATCCCAGCACTTTGGGAGGCGGAAGCAAGAGGATGGTCTGAGCCCAGGGGTTCAAGCCCAGCCTGGGCAACTTGGCGAGACCACATCTCTACAATAAATCAAAAAATTAGCCAGGCATGATGGCAGGTGCCTGTAGTTCTGGCTACTTGGAAGGCTGAGGCGGAAGAACCACCTGAGCCCAGTAGGTAGAGGCTGCAGTGGCTGTGAGCATGCCACTGCACTACAGCCTGCGCAGCAAGAATGAGACTCCAACTCAAAAAATCCCCCGAAATTACCCCCCACATTAATCCACAAAGCAAGTGAAATGGCAGCATATGAGCCAAGATCAAGCTTCAGATACTGTGAACCCCGTGCTGGTGCCAACCATATCTCGTGCAGGTTCAATTGCCTACAGTGCAGCAACCTGAGGCCAGGCCAAAGTAAGAAAACCACTTCAAACACAGAAATGTGAGTGAGGCTCTTGGCCACAGGGTTGGAGAAGGGCTAAGGCAGAAATTCTGAATGCAAAATACCTTGCCCACTTTCTGTCCAGCTTCTCCCTGAATGCTGTCCACTTTACAGACAGGCAAACTGATAAAGACCCACTTGCCCTCTGATGGTCTTTTCAATATACCAGCATTCCTGCAGTCCCTGGCTGGCACTAAGCATCAGATCCTGGACTGCGGCGAATTCACCAAGTTAACATCAATGAGTAGAAAAAAACAGTTGCAATCAGGTCTGGAATGGACATCATAAGCGAGCCCAGTTGCTGAGCCCACCCAAGCCAGTCCATTCTCACTCCACTGGGGACACCAAGGGCTGTTACCTGTCCAGCTGCCCACATGCTGGCAGAGGCCTTCACAAGGTATACGGCTAGAGCCGCAGTGACCCTTGCGCTGGGCTATGGGGGGATGAGGATGCCCCCAGCTCCCTCTGAGTTATTTGCAGGGGTGAATCTGTACCCTCCAGGTGAACTCACACCCGCCACCTCCAAGGGCTGCACAGGAGATAGGGACAGCAGGCTCAGTAGGGTAACCATGAGATGGGGGGAGGTGGAAAGGTTCAGGGGCCAAAGATGATACCTGATATGGCGCTGGCGGATCAGCACACGAGCATGATGAATGGACTTGGCCAAGCCCAGCTTGAAGACCTGGGTCTGCAGGCGCCTCTCCAAGAAATCCTCGATCTTCAGGCCCAGGATGTAATCCAGTTTCATCTTGCCCTCATCCAGCACCCCAATGCGGACAAGTCGCCGCAGCAGGGCATTGCCTGGGAAGAGTGGGAGGAAGCACTCATTCAAAGTTCTGACTTCCTGGGTTCCAACCCTGGCTCCACTCTTAGCAGAACCAAGTTGTGGTGGTGGGACACAGGTGGTGAGGGTTACATCTGACACAGAACCCAATGTACACTGTGACTCATAATCCTCAAAAGGACCCTAAGGCCATTTTATCCATAGTAACCTGCAGGTGACCAAGGAGGGCAGGCACACACACCCATGTCCTCATCTGAAAGTGCAACATCCCTTGATCCACATTCCTACCAAGAGTAAATTAAACAATCCCCCCTTAAAGGACTCAAACTGCAATGCAGACCAAGTGCAGCTGCTAGTACACTACCACTATAAAACACAGGGGCTAAGAGCAAACATTCTGGAGTCAAGAAAGTCCACCTAGGTGACCAGATGTGAGGCCAAATCCTTACTTGCAATAAGGGAGTAGTGTCACAACCACCTTTTAGGGAGGGAAAAAAAACACTTAAGACTAGGCATGCTCCAGCCAAACATATATCACTCATTTACTAGTCTACTTGTGAGAGTTCCCACTGAAAAAAGATGTCATGGTAGGTGCGGTGGCTCAAGTCCATAATCCTAGCACTTTGGAAGATCAACATGAGAGAATTGCCTGAACCCACAGGTTCGAGCCCAGCCTGGACAACTTGGTGAGACTTCAACTCTACAATAAACCAAAAAACTAGCCAGGCGTGGTGGTACACAATTATAGTCCCAGCTCCTTGAAAAGCTGAGGCAGAAGGATTGCCTGAGTCCAGCAGGTTGAGGCTGTGGTGGCCACGAGAGTGCCACTGCACTCCAGCCTGAGCAACTGAGATTCTAACTAAAAAAAAAAAAAAAAAAAAAAAAAAAATTAACTGGGCATGGTGGCCTGTCCCCATAGTCCCAGCAGCTCAGGAGGCTGGGGCAAGAATATTGCCTGAGCCCACTAAGTGAAGGCTGTGGTGAGCTGTGATCACTCCACTGGGCTCCAGCCTAGGCCACAGACTGAGGCCCTGATGCAATAAATGAGGGGGTAGGGAAGAGGTGGAGGGATGAAAAAATCCCTATGTGCACAGGTGGGAGTGCCGGATATACTTTTTAAAAAAAAGTATCATATACACGATGGAATACTACACAGCCATAAAAAAGAACAAAATCATGAATTTCGCAGCAACCTGGATGGAACTAGAGTCTATAATACTGAGTGACCTCTCACAGAAACAAAGATCCGAGTATCACATGTTCTCACTCATATAATGGACCCTTAAACATCCAATGCAATACTATACGAAAATGACTGACCGTACTGGGAAACTATGGTGGGGGGAGAGAGATGGGATTAACAGTAGCAAATATCTGTCTGGGAACGGGGAAACACCCCATATCAACAGGGTGCCTGAATGAAACGCAACTGTATACCTAACCCTTAACTGTACCCCACAACTTCACAATTAAAAAAATAAAAAATAAAAAAAGGAAAAAAAAAAAACCCGATTATCTTTGTCACTACACAAGGCAATCATTTAACGAAAAACTACCTGCAACCCCTAAAATTATTGAAATTGAAAATAATTTGAAGGTCTGACATTTGGGGGGAAAAGTGTCACACACCCAAAGATCCCGCGAAGTCTCTTATCCTCAAGCACGTTTCCTACTCCACAACCACCACCAAAGACCAAGTTAAGCTGGTTTCCACTTGTTCGTAACTCTTAGGCGTGAAATTGGACCTCCCAGTCCTGAACTCGTCCCTTTCACGGGGCCCACAAACACACACCTTCAAACAGACGCCGCGGGTCCTTTTCGTCTAGCGTCAGCAGCTCCCGGGCGGCCTTGCGGATTTTGGCCAGCGTAAACTTGACCCTCCAGACCTCTCGTTTGTTCCGGAGCCCGTATTCGCCTGCGTAGGATGGGGACAAGTGGGTTGGCAGGCTTAGCCCCACGGACTGGTGCAAAGGCTGGATCTGCAGCTTCGGGGAGCAGAAAAACTTTCTAAACCACGAAGGGTGCTAAACCTTGCGCACACGGGCACTCTCACCACGTGTCGGACGTCCCCCTCGACCCCAGAAGCCGAAATCTTGCCTCGGACACTCACCGATCAGCTTCAGCTCTTGGTCGAGTCGGGATTTCTCAAAGGGTCTCCGCGGGGTCACGTAGGTTTTGCGACAAACCCAGCTCCGGGCCACAGGCATGTTGGAGACGTTTGCCTGTCTGCGCCTGCTCAAAAGGGAAGGCTAGCGTGAGCGCGCGCGACCCAAAGCGCGTGCGCAGTCCCACAACTCTGCTCAAACCCCGTGGTGCTCAGAGCCTATCTCGCGAGAACCGCCCCCTAAAACTTTTATAACCGGTATCCCGCCCCACAATCGTGCTGCACTCCCTCCCGTCTACCGGCTCTTTTCTCGTCCCTGACTTCTTTAGCGTACTTCTGAAAGCTAGGAAAGCCCACACGATCATACGACCCCAACCGGGACCAGAAAGCGCGCCGTGATACCTCACCTAACACAGGCTCGGGTAACAGAGAAAGAGGGGCACAGTAGCTTGGGCTGAGCTCTTATAGTAACGCCGCCGGTTTGTGACGTCACGGCACTCGGCGCACGTCTGAGCCAATTAGAAGAGGCGCTGGATGAAGGAAAGGCAGTCGAGCCGAGAGGCTGGGCTAGAGCGGCGGCTACGCTGGGATAATCGGGTGTCGGGAGGGGTCTCGGAGGACCCGAGGAACTCAGGCCGGTGCGGTGGTTCCTTAACAAGACCTGCAAACTAACCTAGGATTTGAGAGAGCTGGGCTCAACGTTAAAATGGTTATCTCGTCTCCACTTTCTCCCTGAGAGTTGGAGCTTCAGCCCGGCGCAGTGGCTGACGCCTGTGATCCCAGTACTTTGGGAGGCGGAAGCGAGAGGATTGATTGAACCCAAGGTTCGAGACCACCCTAGGCAACGTGGCGAGACCTCGTCTCTACAATAAATCAAAAAATCAAAAAATTAGCCGGGCGTGGTGGCGCATGCCTGTAATTCCAGCTACTTGAAAGGCTGAGGCGGAAGGATCACATGAGATCAGCTGGTCGGGGCTGCGGTAGCCGTGAGCGTGCCACTGCACTCTAGACTGGGCAACCAAGTGAGACTTCAACTCAAAAAAAAAGAAAGAAAAATCAAAATTCTGACGGGAGAGATGGCTCACCCCTGTAATCTCAGCACCTTGGGAGGCAGAAGTGGGAGGACTGCGTGAGGCCAGGATTTCAAGACCAGCCTGGGCAACATAGGCAGACCTAGTGTCTACAACAAATCATAAAATTACCTGAGCGTGCTGGCGTGCATCTGAAGTCCCAGCTACTCGAAAGGCCGAGGCAGGAGGATGTCCTGAGCCCAGGAGGTCAAGGGTACAGTGAGCCATGATTGTGGCTCTGCACTTCTGCCTGGGCAATAGAGTGAGACCCTGACTCAAAAAAAAAAAAAAAAAAAAGCAAGAAAAGAAATCACTGTTCTGGCTGGACACGGTAACTCACGCCTGTAATCCCAGCACTCTGGGAGGCCGAGGCAAGAAGATTGCCTGAGCCCAGGGTTCGAGACTAGTCTGGGCAACTTAGCAAGACCTTGCCTCTACAATAATCACAAGATTAACTGGGTGTCGTGGCATGCACCTGTGGTTCCAGCTACCTGGAAGGCTTAGGTGGAAGGATGGATCCCCTGAGCCCAGCAGGTCAAGGCTGTAGTGGCCGTAAGCCTGCTGCTGCACTGCAGCTTGGGTGACAGAGTGAGACTGACTCGTGGAAAAGGGGGAGGTTTCAGGTCTGCCTTGATTGGAAGCAGTTGGTTCAGGCAAACTGTAGGTGGGCAAACTAACATTGCAACATCCTACATGATGGGTTATGGGTGCAAATGTTTACTCCAGTTGGTCCTGTTAGAAGTGGAGGGCAAAAATGAGGTTAGCTGTGAGTTACTAATCAAGTCCTAGCCACTTGGGACCCATTGTTACACGGGTTACTGTTGGGCTTCCTAGGAGCCTGGCATACAGCAGGCTGGCTTTCTGAGCTATTTATCACAGAGAAGAAAGTTGGTTTCCTGGGTGGGTTGCTGCAGGTTGTAGGTCACAGTTTTTTTTTTTGAGTCAGAGTCTCACTCTGTCACCTAGGCAGGAGTGCAGTGGCACAATCATGGCCACTGCAGCCTCGACCTGCTGGGCTCAGGTGATCCTTCCACCTCAGCCTTCCAATTAGCTGGAACCATAGGAGTGCACCGCCATGCCTGGCTACTTTTTCTGATTTATTGTAGAGATGAGGTGTTGCCAAGTTGCCCAGGCTGGTCTCGAACCCCTGAGCTCAGGCAATCCTCTTGCCTCCGCCTCCCAAAGTGCTGGGATGACAGGTGACAGTTCTCTTTCTATATAGTCTGGCTATTCTGTTTGTGTACTTAGTCTCTCCCCAACTAGAGGATGAGCTGAAGGTTCATCTGTGATGGTCAGCTCCATTGCCTGTGTGCCTCTCCACTCCTCTGGACAGCTGCAGCCAAGGCAGTCAGTATCATCTCCTCAGAGGTGGGGCACAGGAGCTCATGCCTGTAATCCCGGCACTGTTGGGAGGCCAAGGTGGGAGGATTGCTTGAGCCCAGGAGTTCTAGACCAGCCCAGGCAACATACCAAGACCTCATCTCTACAAAAAAATCAGAACATTAGCTAGGTATTGTGGTACCCACCCGTAGTCCCAGCTACTCGGGAGGCTAAGGTGGAAGGATCACCTGAGCCCAGGTTGAGGCTGCAGTGGCCATGAGCATGCCACTGCACTCCAGCCTGGGTGACAGAGTGAGAGTCCAACTCAAAAAAAATCTGCGTATAGGCTGGGTGCGGTGGCTCACACCTGTAATCCCAGCACTTTGGGAGGCTGAGGCAAGAAGATTGCTTGAACCCAGGAGTCTGACATCAGGCTAGGCTAACACAGTGAGAACTTGTCTCCACAAAAATGAAAAAAAAATTTTTTTTTAATCTTTCAAACTGAGAAAGCGGGTTGGAAAACAAATCTGTTTATAAGTAGACCCAAGCAGTTCAAACATGTAGTTCAAGTGTCAACTGTATATTCAATGATGCTCTCTGACCTCACCCTAAGCCTCTTCAGAAGCAGCACAGTCCAGTCATGTAAGATGGTTCCTTTTCCACAAACCTCCAGCCTCTCTTTGGTCTCTGTCTGGAGACCTCCAGCACTTCCTCTCTCAAAGGAGCACAAGGTAATATAGTGAGGATCCTTGGCTCCCATCCATGAGTTGCCAAGAACCAGCCAGGCAAGCTCAGGCAAGAGGGTTCCTTTTCTTCTATACAATTGTAAAATCTAATCATGCCTCATCAATATGATGCAAAACTGTGTAGCTGTTAGCAAAAATGAGATAAGCCGGCCAGGCATGTGTGGCTCACGCCTATAATCCTAGCACTTTGGAAGGCCGAGGTGAGAGCATTGCCTGAACCCATGGGTTTGAGACCAGCCTGGGCAACTTGGTGAGACCTCATCTCTACAATAAATCAAGAAAAAGTAGCCGGGCACAGTGGTGCATGCCTGTAGTTCCAGCTACTTGTAAGGCTGAGGCGGAAGGATCACCCAAGCCCAGCAGGTTGAGACTGCGGTGGCTGGGAGCATGCCACTGCCCTCCAGCCTGGGCAAGAGAGTGAGACTCCAACTAAAAGAAAAAAATGAGATAAGCCTGTGTATATCAAAAAAGCAAGCTGCAGAAGTGTATATAGTATGCTATAATTCGCCTTAATAAAAATATCATAAATGTATATATATTTAAAATGTTTAGAAAGTGCTATATAAATTATATAAGTCCTAAATTATCTCACTCAGCCTTGAGCAAAAAATTGTGGTTTAGGCAAGACACAGTGGCTCACACCTGTAATCCCAGCACTTTAGGAGGCTGAGGTGAGAGGATCGCTTGAGCAAAGGAGTTAAAAACGAGTCTGGGAAACATAGCGAGAACTTGTCTCTACAGAAAAAAATAATTAGCCGGGCATGTAGTCCTATAGTCCCAGCCTGTAGTCCCAGCTACTCAGGAGGCTGAGGTGGATGGATCACCTGAGCCCTGGAGGTCGAGGCTGCAGCGAGTGCATTCCAGCCTGAGTGCATTCCAGAGTGAGAGCCCGACTCAAGAAAAAAGAAATTGTGTTTTAAACCACTCATTCATTCAGCAATCATGTATTACTATGTGCCAGAAAGTGTTCTTGGACCTGGGGATACTGCATGAACAAGGGAATACAAGACAACAAACAAATAAAAAACCTTATCCTTAACTGGAAACCAATGCCAATTGACTGGCGAATGGATAAACAAAATGTGGTATGGCTATACAATGAAATATTCAGCAATAAAATGGAACAAAGCACACTTAGAAAACAGTATGCATGAAGTAAAGAAAGCCAGATGCAAAAGACTACATGTGTATGGCTCCATTCATATGAAATGGCCAGCAAAAGCTAATTTTTTTTTAGTTGAGGGTCTCACTCTGTTGCCCAGGCTGGAGTGCAGTGGCACAATTACAGCTCACTGCAGCCTTGAACTCTTGGGCTCAGGCCATCCTCCTTCCTCAGCCTCCCAAGTAGCTGGGACTACAGGCATACACCACCATGCCTGGCTAATTTTTTTAAATTTTTTGTTCAGACGAGGTGTACTGTGTGCCTAGGCTAAAAGACCAGATTTTATTTTTTTAGCTTTTTTTTTTTTTTAGGTTGGGGTCTCACTCTGTCACCTAGGCTGAAGTGCAGTGGCATGTTCACAGCCACCGCAGCCTCATCCTGCTGGGCTGGGCTCGGGCGATCCTTCTGCCTCAGCCTTCCAAGCCCTGGAACTACAGGAGTGTGCCACCATGCCCAGTTAATTTTTTTATTTATTGTACTGACAAGGTCTCACCATGTTGCTCAGGCTGGTCTCGAACCCCTGAGCTCAGGCAATCCTCTCGCCTCTGCCACCCAAAGTGCTGAGATTACAGGCATGAGCCACCGCGCCTGGCCAAAGACCAGGTTTTAAAGCCCAGCCCTACTGCTTACTAGCTGTGTGACCTTGTCATTGCCCCTCCACCAGGACTTTTTTCATCTGTATGTTCAGACAAAAACACCCACACTTCCGGGATTGTCATAAAGATTCAAACTACCAACTCATCATTTATTTAACAAGTTTATTGAGATCTCCTGGAACCTAAGCTCTGTAGAAAACATAGATGAATCAAACCCAGTCCCCACTTTCAAGAAGTGGAAATAGGTAACTAAAAAAACAACACAGTCAGCCAACAAGTGCTTTGAAACATGGAGGAACATAAAAAGAAAGTAGTGTTAAAAAACCTGGAATCAAAAACTAACTGTAGAAAGAGGCAGGAGGGGGTCCTAGCCTCCCACATGGAGATGAGCTTGGGGCCATCTAGAAAGTCTCCTGCCGCACACACAGCCGCATCCCCCTGGGTCTCCGGCGTTCACTGCAGGCTGGCCCACTGCAGGGAGGTGTAGACCACCTTACCATCAGGCTGCGGAGAGCAGAGGAGCAGCGTCTTTCTCACGCTGGTCCCAAGGCGGCCAGCAGACACCAGGTCCTGGAGTGGGATAGGGTCCTCAGGAGCCCAGCACTGAGCGATGTAGTGGGCGTGGAAGCGCAGCGGGTCACCTGGGAGAAGGACAGAGGTGCTGAAGCCAGTCCCAGCAACAGAGGGCCAGGAGGCACTGAAATGCGCACTAGTAGGAAACGTGAGATAACTTTAGCAATCACTGTGGATACTCGAAAACAGATTCCCTTGGACTCAGCTAATCCACTTCTAGGAATTTATTTCTTACAAGTATCGTGGCACTAAAATACGCCTATAAAGATGCTCACTTTCGCCGGGTGCTGTGACCCACACCTATAATCCTAGCACTTTTGGAGGCTGAGGAGAGAGGATTGCTTGAGCCCAGGAGTTTGAGACTAGCTTGGGCAACATAGCGAGACCTCATTTCCACAATAAAGAAAAAAATTAGCCAGGGGTGGTAGCACACACCTGTAGTCCCAGCTACTGGGAAGGGTGAGTTGGAAGGATCACCCTGAGCCCAGGAGGTCGAGGCTGCAGTGAGCCATGATCATGCCACTGCATTCCAACCTGGGTGACAGAATGAGACCCCAACTAAAAAAATAACTAAATAAAAATAAATAAAATAAACATTTTCTTGCTGATTGCAGTGGCTTACGCCTGTAATCCCAGCACTTTGGGTGGTAGAGGTGAGAGGATTGTTTGAGCTCAGGAGTTCAAGACCAGCCTGAGCAATAAATCAAAAAATTAGCCAGGCATGGTGGTGCATGCCTGTGGCTCCTGCTACTTGGAAGGCTGAAGTGGAAGGATTATCTGAGCCCAGCAGGTCGAGGCCGTGGTGGCTGTGAGTGTGCCACTGCACTCCAGTCTGGGCGACAGAGTGAGACTCGACACACATACATACATACAATAAACATTTTCCATTTTGTGGGTCACGTTGCAAATACTCAACTCTACCACTGAAGCACATTAGTAACCAGATCTATATGTGAACGACTAGGTGGAGGTCCAGATCTGACCTGGGCTTCAGATGAAATGTGACCAAGTAGAGTAGGAACCTTACTAGGGCCCTATACAGAAGATTAAATCACAGGTCATAAATCTGCAAGCCAAGGTCATGAGACACCCATCTGAAGAAACCATCGTAACAGGTATAAAACAAGGTCTGGTTTGGCCAGCAGGGCTTCCAGCAAGAACCTACCTTATCAGGAGCCAGACAGGCAGATAATCCTTGTCCAGGAAATATTCATATTGAAGGTCTGAAACTCTCAAATGTTTCTGTCCTTTTTTTTGTTTTTTTGAGTCGGAGTCTCACTCTGTCACCCAGGCTAGAGTGTGATCCTTTGGCCTCATCCTTCTGAGTAGCTGGGACGACAGGTGTATGTCACCATGCCCGGCTAATTTTTTGATATTTTGTAGAGACAAGGTCTCACTACATTGCCTAGGCTAGTCTCTAAATCCTGGCCTCAGGTGAACCTTCCACCTCAGCTTCTCAAAGTGCTGGGATTATAGGCATGAGCCATCATGCCCTGCCAGAATATTAGTATTGAAGGTCTGAATCTCTCAAATATTTCTAAGCCTGTTTCCAAATCTTCCTGATCTAGGTTAAAAAGACTATGGCTCTCAGTTCATGTGCAGAAGATTAATAGACAGACCTCAATGCATAACTAAGACCTGACTACTTATCAGATGGTTCTTTTTTCCCACGGTTTAGGGGGAACAAGAAAAGTCATTTTCCACAGTTATTTAAAAAACCTTTTAGTTACACAATAGAGGCACCCTTCTACAAATTCAAATATTATCTGACTCAACAAAAGTTCTCTTTACCTATTCCTGATGCAAATTTCCTCCCAAAGGCAATCACCACTATAGCTGGGCTGGTGTACATCCTTTTTCTACTTGCTTGACAGGATTCTCTTAATCTACTTGGTACTCCCTTTTATTTTTTTTATCTTATTTAAAGCTCCTTTATATATATATTTTTTTCCAGTTAGGGTCTCACTCTGTCGTCCAGGCTGAAGTGCAATGACATGATCATGGTTCACCGCAGCCTTGATCTCCTGGGTTCAGATGATCCTTCTACCTCAGCCTCCCAAGTAGCTGAGCCTACAGGCAGGCACTACCATACCCAGGCTAATTTTTTGATTTTTTTGTAAAAACAAGGTCGTACTATGTTGCCCAGGCTGCTCTCGAGCTCCTGGGCTCAAGCTATCCTCCCCCTTTGTCCTCCCAAAGTACAGATTACAGGCATAAGCCACCGTGTCTAGCCAAAATTTTTTTTTTTTTGAGTCAGAGTCTCACTCTGTTGCCCAGGCTGGAGTGCAGTGGTATGCTCATAGCCACCGCAAACTCAACCTGCTGGGCTCAGGCGATCCTTCCGTCTCAGCCTTCCAAGTAACTGGAATTGCGGCATGCGCCACCACACCTGGCTAATTTTTTTATTTACTGAGGTCTCACCATGTTGTTCAGGCTGGTCTTGACCCCTGAGCTCAGGTAATTCTCTCACCTCGGCCCCCCAAAGTGTTGGGATTACAGGTGTGAGCCACTGCGCCCGGCCTCAAATTTTTTTTGAGAAAAAAAATTGCATACATCATGTACAACATATTTTGAAATATATATAACTGCAGAATAGTTAAATCAGGCTAATTAACACATGCTTTACCTCACATTACTTACCATTTTTTGTAGTAAGAACACTTAAAATTTACTGTTACCAATTTTCAAGAATACTATACATTGTTATTAGCTATAATTATGTTATACAATAGATCTCTTGAGCTTATTCCTCCTGTCTAACTGAAAATTTGTATCCTGTGACCAACAACTCTCCAATCCTCTCTCCCACACCCCTGGTAACCACCATTCTATACTCTGCTTCTATAAGTTCAACTTTCTTAAATTCCACATACAGGCTGAGCCAGTGAGTCACGCCTATAATCCCAGCACTTTGGGAGGCCGAGGTGAGAGTACTGCCTGAGCCCACGGGTCAGAGACCAGCCTGGGCAACTGGGCAAGACCTTATTTCTACAATAAATCAAAAAATTAGCTGGGTGCGGTGGTATGTGCCTGTAGTTTCAGCTACTTGGAAGGCTGAGGGGAAAGGATCGCCTGAGCCCAGCATATTGAGACTGTGGTGGCCATGAGTGTGCCACTGCACTCCAGCCTGGGCAACAGAGTGAGACTCCAACTCAAAAAAAAATAAAAAATTCCACATACACCTGAGATCATGTGATGTCTTCCTGTGTCTGACTTATTTCAATGAATATAATGTTCTCCAGGTTCATCCATATTGCTGCAAATGACAATTTTTTTTTAAGGTTGAATAGTATTCCACTGTGTACATTTACCACATTTCCTATATTTATTCATTGATTCATTCAAAACATGATCCATTCAAAATATGGCAGCGCATACCTGTAATTCCAACTTTTTGGAAGGTGGAGGTGAGAGTTCTGCTTAAGCCTAGGAGTTCAAGACCAGCGTGGGCAACACAGCAAGACCTCGTCTCCACAAAATTTAGCTGGGTATGGTGGCACGCACCTGTAGTACCAGCTACTCAGTAGACTGAAGCAGAAGGACTGCCTGAGCCCAGGAGATTGAGGCTGCAGTGAGCCAGGATTATGCCACTGAATTCCAGCCTGGGTGACCGAGTGAGACCCCAACTCAAAAAATGGAAAAAGAACAGATGTTGGAAAATGTATATAGTAAGCAGTAAACTATATTTTTATATGGGTATGTAGACATATACATATTATTTGTATATTGTAATTAAATAGCCTTCTGCCTCAGCTTCCTGAGTAGCTGGGACTACAGTTGCACTCCACCACACCCAGCTAATTTTTTGATTTTTCTATAGAGATGAGGTCTTACTATGTTGACCAAGTTGGGACAACTGTTATTTTTTCTCTTCTTTGGTCATATTTTTCATATACATACACGGGCCTATATCAATTTCTAATAATTAATACCATGTTTCTCTGACATCTAAACTGCAATTTTTGTTTCTTTTTAAGAGACAGGGTCTTACTCTGTCACCCAGGTTGGGGTGTAGTGGCACAATCATAGCTCAGTACAACCTTGATCTCCTGGGTTCAAGCAATCCTCCTGCCTCAGCCTCCTAAGTAGCGGGGACTATAGGCATTTTCATCACACTTGGGTAATTTCTTATTTTTTTGTAGAGGCAGTGTCTCACTATGTTGCCCGGGTCTCAAACTCCTGTTTCACTATGTTGCCCGGGTCTCAAACATAAAACATCTTCCTGCCTTGACCTCCCAAAGTGCTGGGATTATTGGTGTGAGCCACCATACCTGACCAAACTGACAAGTTTAACTACTAATGTATTAATAATCAGTTTGGCTATTTACCAACGTCTCCATTTCAATAATGTGAAAATTTCTGCAAAACATATTTCTCAATGTTTTGCATACATGGCTAACTATTTCTAAGTGGATCTTCTAGATCAAAAGAAGTGTTTGATAAGTTACTAAACTACCCTCCAAAGATTCCCTGTCCTCCCATGAATTTCAGAGGCTAAGAGAAAGTGAGACAAAAAGGAAAAATGCACCGGGTTTCTGAGGAAAGGCACAGTCACCAGAGGTCCCAACCCAGACTCACCAGGATAGACCAGGAAGTCCCCCCCGAACTTGCCAGCCGCACTGAGGAAGAAGCCACGCTCCCACAGGTCTCTGTAGATGCTGTAGCGCAGCTCGTGGGCAGGGCGACCAGCATGGGGCCAGTCTTTGGACTGAACACGCCAGTCCAGGGGCCTGGCCTTGACGGGTCGAGGCCTGGCAGTGGCCAGCTGGACCAGTAGAGCAGACCTGGGCAAGGGGGCCGCGCCATTTGAGTATCCTGGCTGGGATGAGGAGGGGCCTGGGGGAGGAGCAGAGATAAATCCAAGGTGCACGGTCTTCCCAACCCCGGGAGCTTAAAAGATCCCGTCCTCCAAACCCCACCCTCACCTGCTTCTTCCTGCTCTCCAGAAGCCTGGCCATCACTGGTCTCATTCTCCTCTGCAACTCGGCTCCCAGTGGCCTTCAGGCTCTTGCTAGCCTTGAGGCTCCAACTGGCTCGCTGGCTCCCACTGACCTCCGGGCTCCCGCTGGCCCCTGAATCCTGTTCTAGCTTCTGCTTCTTTACAGCCTGGCCCTCCTCGTTGTTATTCTCCTCTGCAGCTCTGCTCCCGCTGGCCTTCTGGCTCCTACCGGCCTCCAGGTTCCCGCCGTCTCCTGCACCCTGTTCTAGCTTCTGCCTCTTGGCAGCCTGGCCCTCTGTAATCTTCTCCAGCAGCTCCTGACGATGGGTCTCGCGGGCCTCGGCGGCCAGGGCGCTTTGCTCCTGGAAGCTCTGCTCTTGCTGGCGCTTGAAAGATGCCAGGTCCTGAGAAGTAAACTTAGCTGGAACCTCAGGACCCCAGCTTGGGGTCCCTCGGGAAGCCAGGAATCCCGACCCCCGGGTCCCTCCCGCCTCGGGGACACGGGGTCAGGGTTCTCCCACGGGAGCCGGAAATTCTAGGCCCTGCCTCCTTACCAGGCTGTGGTGGCGGGGATCGGGGCGCGGGGCGCTGACCAGGGTCACAGCGCCGATCTCGGCCAGGAGCCGAGCCTCTTCGGGCATCAGCAGCAGCGGGAGGCCCAGGCGCGAATTCTGGCGGGGTCCGCGGGGCAGGGCGCCCACCGTGCGGCCCCCCACTCCCAGGCGCTCTCGAAGTGCCTGCACCGCCTCGGCCCCCCACACCAGGGAGCGGCCGTTCGCCACCTCCACCACCAGCATCCTCCTGCAGGCAGGGGCAAAGCAGTCACCGAAACAGCAGCCCGTCGCCCCTAGCACGCCGACAGGCTCTGGGGTCTCGGCGAAGCCCCGCCCCTGGCTCCAGGAGGCGGGGCCTCGCTCGGGTCGCGGTCCTCCACCTGCCGGGTTCGAGGGCCAGGCCCCGCCCCGAGAGCTGAACTCCGCCCCCAGGCGATCCCGCTAGGCCCCGGGGCCGCGGGAGAGACAAGGCCCCACCCTCGCCACGCCCCTGGGTCCCGCTCGGCCCTCGAGACCCCGTGGTCCGTATCGGGCTCTGTACCAATACTGCCGTACCTGCCATCGCGCCTTCGAGTCTCAAAAAGAAACCCCGCCAGCACGGCGCCACGCCCCCTTAGAAAGGTGCATTTTGGCACCGTCCTTTTGCTAGGCGCGAGTCTCCCTTCGGGTGTCCCCGTCCGGTGTCGGGAACAGTCGACTGCAAGGCAACGCCGAGGCCACACCCTCTTCCGGGGACGCGGGCCTTGGCTCCTCCCCTTTCCGAATCACCGAAGCCTTTCGGCTATCGGGCCTTCGTGTCTGAACCAGACTCCCACAGTGCGAAACCCCGCACTCTGCCGAGCGCCGAAGGTTCGGCCTTCGGGCGACCCTGGCTCAACCGAATCCGAGCTTCGCCCCCTTCTCGAACGCGAGGGATTCGGCGTTCGGGTATTCTCGGTTCGGCCGAACCCGTAAGCCCCGCCCCTTCACAAGCCAAGGTTCGGCGTTCGGGCGTCACCGGCTCCCGGCAATCCCTCAGCCCGTGGCTCCGCCCCCTCTGAGAGCCAGTGCGCCCCAGTTGGGGAGCTCCTGTCCCACAACCGAACCCCACAACCAAAGGTTCCGCCCCCTGGGCACCCGCCATCCATCCTACGCTCTGGCGGGCTCACCCCTCTTGGGAGCGCTCAGTCTGCGTCCTCGCTTCCCTTCAGAACGTCCCACCGTCCTCCGATAGGAACAGCTAGTCACTTGGTAAACACCAACTCGCAATCGAGGCGGAGCCACCCACTACGTAGCGCGCCACGCGCAGTCCCCGCCACCCCTCCCCCTCCCGCCACATGCCGACCCCCTGCGTCAACTCGTCATCCCGCCTCCTCAGCGTGGCGGAAAGTCCGGGATCGCCCCCGCAGGGTCGTGGCCCCGCCCTCCTCCCCCGCATCGGGACACCTCGGCTCCGCCCCTCAGAGCACCTCCCTCCGCCCCTTCGGCTCCTCGACTGAGGAACGCGAGCCTCTTTGCCCCGCCCCCTACACCGCCCCGCCCCCGGGTTCCGCCCCTTAATAAATACTCCTGATCACCGCCCCTTTGGTGTTGCCGAAGTCTGTGGCCCCGCCCCCCGGAAACGAGGCCCTAAATCTGGCGAAGTGGCTGGATCCGCTTATCCCTCGAGCGTCACTGATACCCAGCTGTTCCCGAAGTAAACCGAAGTTTGTGACTCCACCCACATTCGGCCGAACGTGTGGCCCCGCCCACATCCGAGTTGCGAGCTCAAGTTCTCGACTGTCTCCGAAGTCAGCCGAAGCTTGGGGCCCCGCCTCAAGCTAGAAGCTTCAGCTTCCGATTATGGTACTCGACTATCTCCGAAATAAGTAGGTACTATCTCCGAAGTAGCTACTCGAGTATCTCCGAAGTAAGCCCGAAGCATGTGGCCCCGCCCACATCCGAGCAGAGCGCTCGAGTTCTCGACTGCCTCCGACGGAAGCCGAAGCTTGTGGCCCCGCCTCCAAACTGTCGGCTCCCGCTCCCGACTGTGCCCGAAAGAACCCGAAGAGCGCCCCGCCGTGACGGCCAAGCTCCCGACCCCGCCTGCTTTCAGGTCCCGTCGTGTTCCGCCTCGGGCCCGAGGCGTCAGGCCCCTCCTCTTTCCGAGTCCGAGGCTCCACCCCTTCACGTACTCGCGGCTCTCAGCCCCACTGTAGATCCCGACTCGCGTTCAGCCGCCGCCTCGCGTTCCCGGGGGCGCGCTCCGGGGCTCCTTCCCTGCCCATCCCGGAGTCCTGAAGGCAGCCGCATCCTAGGCCCGTTCCGCGCAGCCCAGCCGGACCGCGAAAGAGCGGGCGGCGCGGG